ATTACATTTATTACCATTTCTTTCTTCCTCGGTCTATCCAACTTTAACTTCGCCATCACTCTAACCACCTCTTCCTTCCCCCATGCACGGATGCGTGCCACTCTGGTTCTTTCATAAGACAACACTGCCTCACAGCCCGACCAAAAATCGAACATGTGCAACATGCATTTATAATAAAATTTATAATTTTATATAATAATTATACTATCATTTTATATAAAAACACAAAAAAGTTCTTCAACTCATTTACCTCTAAGATTGCTATGCACCCTTTGAGGTATCTCTCGATGCCCTTTTTAAAGGTGATTATTGATTCAATCAATATCGAATGAACATATTCAGCCCAATTGAATTCACCCTTCAAGCCTTCACCACAAATGAGCTTCATATAGTCCTTGGTCGTTGACGTATCACCTGTTGGACAAAGAAAGATACCGATAAGGTACAATTGAACTCTGCCCTTCAGCTCATCCCCCCCGTAAGATCCACTTTTGATTTCCTCTTCAATTTCAGCATACATCACCTTATGCTTCAAACCATATTTGGAGGGAAGTGCTTTCTAGTCCTTACTCTTACAGACTTCTACAACACTTTTGCCTTCATTTTCTACTACCCCCAATACGGCTGCAGCACATGAGATCCCGACAGGAAATGAAAAATCACCATACTTAGCAATACATTGTTTGACATCAAATTGCGCCCTCAAGGATCGACAAAATTCCCTTCGAATAGGTCGATCCCTTACTCCTACCAACGATCCAAAACCTATTTCTCCTAGCACATTCAAGTGACCCTTCTCCTTAAGGTATTTAATTAATGAATTCACCCTTTTAATGTCGCACCTTGTCGACACTTCCTACATTTTTTAACATTATATAATGTTATAGTTCTTATATATTTTGTATCAACGTATTTACAAAGTTTAATGAATACCTTATTTTCATGTGCTTTCCTCCGTTCTTTGTATTCTTTACTATCATTCCTTGACTGTGTGATGTAAAGTTTCTTTTCAGCATCACTCATCGAATTCCATTTCGACCTCACATCTTTTGTCACCTAATATTAAGCATAAACGTTTCTTAATCAATACATTAACACTAAATAATACTCAATGTCAATTTCATTTTACATACCGAACCGCTCTGTATGCCATCTTCCTTCATCCTTTTGCATTCGGCCATACTGTCAACATTTAAAATTTGTAATCAATTTAAAGTTCTTAAATACTTTAATCCAATTACCATTTCAACAATAATAATAAAAAGACATTGATACTTACTAGAAGTACATATATCCACCCTTTGGTTGCTTTCGAGTCTCGACCTCAATTTCAAAGTCATCTGCGCCACCAACAATTTTTCCACCCATTGACTCCATTTTTCCTTCATATATCAGTTTACAAAAATCAAATCAAATACTTGTTACATACACTTTATTCAATATACAATTATAGATAACTACTTTTGTTGTAAAACGGTTTTCTTCAAAAGAATTTGAATGGCCACTACAAAATGTGTCGGCACATTTATACAACCTATAATATAATTTTCTACCTATAATATTTAATAAAAGTATCGACATTTATATTTTACCTTGAATATCACTTTCTACCTGTAATCGGTCCCAAATGCTTCTTTACTCCAAAACCCCAAACAACACATAAAAACCCTATTTGCGATTATTGTAATAATAAAAAACTAGAGTTTTGACAACATAATTTTCGAATCGACTGCAGCAACAAAACAAACAAACTTCTCTTTAGAAACGCCTTCTGAAATGCAGCAACAATTATGCTTCGATTTCAAAAACTTGTCCGTTCTATCTATTTTCAGAGGATATTTAACTATGACTTTTATATTTTCATCAGATATGTTATTTATATTTAATCGATACAACTAAAAAAGTGTCGATACTTTTATATCAGGTGTCGATACTTTCGATAGGATAATTACCTATTTCTTTGAAAGTATCGATAATTTATAAACATACTTATGAAAGTATCGACACTTTCAATATATTCGGTAGCGCTTTATCGGTTTTATCATTTTGATACCGGTTTTATCATATTTTTACCTGTTATATCGTTGTGGATCGATACATTTTTATAAAGTATCGACACTTTATAAGCGCTAAAACTGCTTCTCTTTTAAATTCACAAAGTGTCGATCCTTATATTAAAGTATCGACACGTTCAAAATATCCGGTAAGGATTTACTGGTATTGTCTTTTCGTGACCGGTTTTATCGATATTTTTACCTGTTATATTGATATAGATCGATACATTTTTAATTTGGATCGACACAAACCGACAAGTTAAGTTTGCCGGTTGTCAATTTTTTTAATATTTCTTCATGACTTAGACCTACTACATTATTATTACTCAACATTTCCGGTAGCGCTAAACCGAATTTATTAAATATCTTTTAATGTATCCGGTAACGCCATATATTAATTGTATATTAACCCGCCTTTCCTGAGACATTCTCAATAATTAAAAATTTTACCTAATCAGTGATTGGGTAATGGATGGTCATTTTTCTAATCCCGATGAATATCAACATGGCGTGGTCAAGGTCTTTTTTTTATCAGATATTAGGATGAATTTTTATTAAATTTTTTGAAGTTGGATTAATATCTGTCGGATTTAGGTGAAATTCGATTTGTCTTAATATATTATTAAAATATTTTTATTGTATAATTATTTTTATAAAAACTTCGTGTTGTGTTAACGCTAATATTTATTAAAATATTTTTAAAGACACATAATACATCTATTAAAATATTTTATAGTATAAATTATAAAACTTTAAAATTTTAATTTGTATACTTGTATTGCCTTTGAAAAATAAGTTTATAATAGATTGTAGAAGTTGCGGAGCCATAGTTTGGTGAGGGTGTGAGCTACAGTTTGGTGATGGTGGACACATACTTATCTTGAAATTTAAATTTTCTTCCATTATTTATTTGTTTTACTGATGGTACTCACCCTGAAATTTTATTTGTGCTACTAACATATATGTGTTTTTCGACACCATTTTTCGCCCGGGCGGGGAAAAGACCGATACCGACTTTGAGTTTTATATTTGAAAATGAATCTTCGAAATGTGAGGAGTCGCCCCCAATCATTTAAGGTGCGAATGGGACACCATAAAAACCGGGTATTTTAATAAAACATTTTATTTTTATCAAAATATTGAGTTTTAAGGTATGTGAAAATCCAGAAACAAGCGCCCAAAAATTGGTACCAAGTTGATTATCCTATATTTAAAATCGGAAATTTTGAGTTCGATATTTATTTAATTTGAAAAATCATTACGGATGCAAAGTTGAAAAGGGTATTCGTTTATTGAGACCGATAACATTCGCTCCCAAGCGTAAATGCAGGAGATCAACTATTGTACCTAATAACCGGACACTGCCTCGATTTTAAAAAACATGATGTGATCTTTGAAAAGGATGTCGACCTATTCCGGAAATTACCAGTAGTCACCCCCTAAGCATACTTGCGGGAGATATACAATTAATTCCCTAATAAGTGAACATTGCCTTAGGTTTAAAAAATAGAATGCTATTAAACAAATTTTTTATTTAATCCTAATTAAGCTAAGGTAAATTAAAGGTTTTTTCTAGCTTAAGGTGTCAAATTATGAAAATTAAGGAACCTAGGGAACTAAACCTAAATGTAGGCTCTAATATTTACCCTATTTGATTTTTAAATCAATTATTGAATCGAATAACCGAGATGGTCCCTTGAGCATTTAGGCGAGGGCCGACTCGAATTAGGTAAATTAAAGGTTTTTCTAGCTTAAGGTGTCAAATTATGAAAATTAAGGAACCTAGGGAACTAAACCTAAATGTAGGCTTAATATTTACCCTATTTGATTTTTAAATCAATTATTGAATCGAATAACCGAGATGGTCCCTTGAGCATTTAGGCGAGGGCCGACTCGAATTATTTCCTAAATTTAAAGGACTAGATTGAAATCTAACCTAAAGTAGAGGCTCTATTTAACCTATTTAATTATGTCAAAATTAAAATACTAATCGAAGTTTGGGGACTAAGAAGCCAAGATCTAAAAATACCGAGTTCTAAGAGACTTAAAAGCTTAAGGACCTAAATTAACAATTTCTAAGGTTAAGAAATAATTGAAAACCTAATTATAATCTAAATTATCAAACCTAAAGTTTTTTAGAAAATATTAATTATTAATAAATTTTAAAACTCGGGCAATCGATTCGAGTAATTGGGCATCTTATGCGAAAACTCAACTCAAATTTCTCCCTAATAAAACTAAAGTGTCATCATAATTTTGAAGTTTGATTCAAATATTAATCTAATTTAAAATTAAATATAATAATTAAACTATGAAATAAAATAATTAATAATAAAATTAATTAAAATAACAAATAAATAAAAATAGTAAAATAAACATAAAATAAAAAATAAACATACATACATGGACTTAATTGCATAAATATTAAATTACTAAACTAATAGGGAATAAATTAAACATAAAATAAGAGCTAAATTAAAACAAATTAAAAATGAAAGGACTAAATTGAAATAAAAAAAACATATTTAGGGACTAAAATACAAAACATTTGTATTCTTCAGGGACCTAAGAGCAATTTTTCAATTTATTTAAGCCTAAAAAGTAATCTGCTAAATTAAAAAGAGAAAATTGCAAAATCAGTCCATAAAGATTTAAAAAAAATTAAAAGGTCTCTACACATGACTAAAGTGTAAAAACATGGTTAAATAACGGGGATTAAAAAGAAATTTTACCAAAATAAATAAAAATAGGTAAATAAAAGGGAAAATTACAGATTTAAACCCTACAAGACCAAAATTTAAAAACACACTTAAATTACAGAGCATGCATAATATAAAGGTAAAATAACAGTTTTGGTCCACTCAATGGCCAAATTGCAAAAACAAGACAAAAGTTTAGGGGGTTAAACACAATTAACCCCTATACTTTTCTTAAAATAAAATTTATTTTTTTACCCTCATTTCAACTGAAACTTAGATAAAAAAAAAGCCTTAGGAGCTCTCCCCCTCCCCAGCCAGCAGTAAGCCGGCCACCTCTAACCGCCTCCGGTCACCACTCTGACCGTCGTACACGGTGGCCAGAATTCTCCAAACTCTCCAAAAATGACCCGCAACCTAGATCTACCCCTAGATGCCAAATCTAGCCTATAACGACCTTAAACACCCCAAAATACTTCAAAAAGCCTCAGTCTCCTCATGCCCTGGTGATCTCCGCCTCAGACGAACGCCCCCGACAACTTAGGTAACCATGAAACTAACCCCTCTCTCTCTCTCTCTCAATTTTTAATACATGAATATATAATATATAATATATAATATAATAATATTACTTTTGTTTCGAAACTAAGAAAAAAAATAGGAGAGTACATTTAACTCTAACAACTCTTTTTGATGTTTTTTTATTTCTTTCAAAAATAGAGGGTGAAAACCCTTTTTATAGCTTTAGTTCAGGGTTTAGAAACCCCGAAATATAACAAATATTTTATATATTTTTCCTATGAAATCATTACAATAATCTGATATTTGTGTGTGAACTTGGATTGAGTGTTGGTTGCTTATTATGTTCTGAGTTTCTGACACTGCAAGGCTCCGATCGGTGGTAGCAGTGGTGACCAAAGAGTGGCTAAAACGGGTGATAGCAGCTAATTGGGAAAAATGGTGGCGGTGGCTATGGTTTAAAGACCCTAACAAATTAAGGTTAGATTTGGGCTTTGACTTGGGCCCGGGTCAGGTTTGGACCCAATTTTGGTTTAGTTTGAGGTTAATTTAGGGTTTGGTTTAGGCCTAATTTAGGGTTTAGTTTAGGCCTGGTTCAAGTTTGATTGTAAGAGGGTTTAAGGCTTTAATTAGATTTTAATTGGGGTTTGGTTTAGGGTTATTTAGGTTGTTCGATTTAGTTTAAAAAATGGTGATTACAGCTGCCCCTCTTTGCTCATTGATGTGAAACGAGAATAAAACAAAGATAAAAAATCATTTTTCATCTTGGTCTCTTCTTGTCACGCTGCGAACTCTTCACTAGGAATGTCAATTCTTCTCCTTCTGTGAAATTCGTCGAGTCCTCGCTGCAAATGATGTCCTCTTGCTTCGTTCTCTTGGTCGAGTCTTGATCTTCAGTTCTTCAAGCAACGGGGTTTTTCTCATCATGATCTTTCCACTATAAATGTTGATCCCTTAAGTGAGCGTTACTGATTCGAAGTGTTGTGTGAATGGAGGAAAATAAATGTTATCCCCTCTGGTGGGGTGTTGCTGATTCGAAGTGTTGTGAATTGAGTAATAGTAAATGTTAACACCTCTGGTGGGGCGTTGTTTGTTTTAAGAAGAACAATCTCAAGTGAGATAAATCTTCCGTTTCGAGTGAAACTATCTCAAGCAAGAAAAAATCTTATGTTTCGAGTGAAACTATATCAAGTGAGATAAAATCTTCTGTTTCGAGTGAAATTATCTCAAGCGAGATAAAATCTTCTGTTTCGAGTGAAACTATTTCAAGCGAGATAAAATCTTCTATTTCGAGTGAAACTATCTCAAGAAAGATATAATCTTCTGTTTCGAGTGAAACTATCTCAAGCGAGATGTTGATCCCTCAGTCATTGTTGATTTGAAATGCCGTGAATCGAGCGACATGTCAAACAAGCTCTTTTCATTATGAACTTCTTCTCCCTCTATCGGATGAGTTCTTCTCATTATTAACTTTCCATTTGAAGTGTTAATCCCTCAAACGAGGCGTTACTGATTCAAAATGTCGTGAATCGAGCGTTAGGTTGAAAAAGCTCTTCTCATTTTGAACTTCTTCTACCTCTGTCGGATGAGTTAATCTCATTATGAACTCCCCATTTGAAAATGTTAATCCCTCAAGCGAGGCGTAGTTGGTTTTAAGAAAAACAATCTTAAGTGAGATAAATATTTTGTTTCAAGTGAAACTATCTCAAGCGATATGTTGACCCCTCAAGTGAGGCGTCGCTGATTCAAAATGTCGTGAATCGAGCAAAGGAAATGTTGAAAACATCCTCCCCGAAGGTCTTATGGGTGGCCCGAAGGACTTATCATCTTGCTCAAAAGACTTATAAATGACCCGAAGGATTTAAGCATCATGCTCGAAAGACTTACTAATGGCCCGAAGGACTTATTCATCAAGAAACCCTTGAAAATCAACCTTAGTTTCCTAAAATCTTTCATTTTTAGTTATCATTAAGAAACCCCTTGAAAATAAGGCTTAATTTCTAAAAACTCATTTGAAAACATCAAGAAACCCCTAAAATTAGGTTTAGTTTGTTTTAAAAACTCATTGAAAATCATCATCAAGAAACCACTGAAAATCAAGCTTACTTTCTTTAAAAACTCTTTTGAAAATATCATGTTGTTTGGGCAACATGCCCCCACATCAACGTAATGATTCTTCTTGTATTGGGTTCCTCAATTCTTGAGGTTCTGCCACTCGAAATATAATTCCCTTCATTCAAGGCTTGAGTTCTGTCTTTTCCTTCTTTTATTTTCTTGAAAAATCTGTAACAAATGTGCTTTAATGCAAAGATGAAAATTCATATATGTATAATGCATGTTTTTCTTGATTAATAGCAATGAAAATGTGCTGAAGCAATCTTCATTCTCTTCTTGATATGTTCTTCTTCATTCTGTTCTCACACTAAGGTGTACTATTGCATCTTTTTGCAAAAATCTGCTTTTCTTGCTCTTTAACATTCAGGTTTTTTGCCCCAACTTCTGATTACGAGCCTCTAAGTTTGAGGGACCTCTGTCAATTTCCATGTTAAACTCTCCAGAGAGATTGTCCTGTTTGAAAATATTTTCTTTCTTTTTATTTTTAAAATATGGAAAGTTCGTTTAAGAAAAATGTCCTTCTTTTAGGCTCACATTTGAAGCAAATCACAGAACATGAGTTCGCTAAATATCAAAAGAATCAACAGATCTTTTAATCTTTCAAAGTTATACCTCTTTGACAAGTGTCAAAATTGATGAGTTGGTTTCAGGTTAGCTCCTTAAAGTTTCTAAGGTTTCAGTCATTGAAATGTTATTTCTTTTTCGGTCTTTGTGAACCTTACGGCATGTCCCTCTTCTTTGGCTTGGTATTTTAATCAGAAGCGGACAAAATAACGCAACTAGTATAATTAATCACTAGACTTTCTAGAACACTTTTGTTTCGATTCTCTGAAATCTTTCATTTGTTCAAGCTTCATAGACTTCCCTTAGTAGAGGTAGTGCAGGGACATCAGTCTAAATAAATTTCGGAGTGCTTGTATGAAGTCGACTATAACAGGTGTTCCTCAACTCCCTTAGTCCATTTTTATTGAAACTCATTATTAGATCAACTTAATTTAATTTGCCATTGTTTGGTTAGTTGAATTCAGCTTTTTTGTATATATATTATGATTTCCTTCATTGGGCTAGCTGAAGGGTTCGTCTCATTACAAGATCTTTGACTTGACAATTACAGTGGAGCAAACATCGAACTGCTAAGTATCCGAGTAATGTCATGGTTCGAATGCAATCTATTCATAAAGCCAGGGCTTTTGAGTTAACTCTATAACCAATTACTTTAGCAGAATAGCTCAGCTTTATTGTATAATTTATAGTAATAACTTATTAACCTCTTGAGTATTCAGATTCAGAATTTCTTATGCTCATCGAGAAGAACCTGTTATAGTCTAGGTGTCTTTGATAGTCAAGAAATCCCACATTTAGAGCTCAGTTCCTAAACAACTGACCTAAACTAAATTCGTCTATTCCACTATTCCATTTGCAAAAATTAAGATCATCACTGAACGTCCTCAACAGAAGTGTAGTCTAGGAAGTTTTGTAATGTCATACACAAGAGATGCCCTATGTTGTCTGCTCTTATTCATACTTTAATGCCAAGCCTTTTGATCATTTCCTCATGAGAGGAGAAGGCTATAGTGGTCTCTGTAAGAGAAGGGTATGGGGTTGTATCATCTGTGGTAAGGTCAAGGGTCATTGTTTTATCAGTTTTCAATCTTGTCATTTTGTCAGAGATCTATAACTCTAATTTTAAAAAAGTTCTTTTAATCCAATAGATAGTTAAAGAATTTCGAGTCTGAAAATTACTCATTGCTCATAACCTCAGAAGGTAGCATTTTATTTAAAATGTTCGATTGTTAAGTGACTTGCAAACTTTTTAATTAAAAAGAAAGAAAATAAATTCAAACAAGACAATATGCGAGTGCATCAAAAGTTTGTAGTGGCTGCAATGATTTTTCTTGGTTTGCATCAGAATACCCTGTCATTCATCGAATGTCCATGCCCCTGAATCGATTAAATGTTAAACCTTGCACTTCAATGCCCCACAATTCTCATTAGTATGCCCGAGCTTCCCATGTGGTAGCTACATACTACATTAGCATCATGCCCCTCAGGAAATGGATATTCTTTTGGTTTAGACTGAACTAGAGTCACAAGATTCTTCTCAACTAGTAACGGGAACAATTCTTCATATGTCATCGGAATTTCACCAATAGGGATCTTCTCTCGGGTCACTCTATAAGGTTTGGTCTCATGAATAGATGAAACCTCACTATATTGACCTCATATCCTTTTATGACGTCAACACTATTAGAGCCTCTTATCTTGCCATTCTTGATAGTTGTTTCGATCATTTCCCCACACATGACAATGTTAGAGAAATTCTTGATGGTAGTTCCTATCATGTGATCAATAATTGAGGTTTTAATGTATTGATGAACATAGTAGCGAACTCATTTTTGGTCACTAGTGGTTGCACTTGAGAAGCAATGTCCCTCCATCATTGCGAATATTGTCGAAAGTTCTTATTGCGCCTCATCTCCATGCTTTGCAATGTGATTCGATTAGGGCCATATCCGTGATGTGCTTGTATTGACTCCAAAAGGGATGGTAAAGTTGCCTAGATCCCTCAACTTAGGCAGCAACTTGTTGGTTAAAATGACACTACACTCTTATATGAGCACAATGGTTTCGATATCATGAATCTTTTTTTTATTGGCTAAT